GTGGCAAGATCATGAAAGTAACCTGAAGGAGCTGAGTGGTCTTGGCCAGTAGCCAGGAAAAAAAAAGAAAGAGAAAAGAAAAGAAAAAAAAATACTCCAGTTCTCTAACTACAAAGAGCTAAATTCCTCTAAAAACCTGAATATGCTCAAAAGTGGATTTTCCTTTAGTTGTGACTCTAGCTGAAGACAAATGGCCAATATCTTGATTTCAGCCTGGGAGATCTTGAACAGAGGATCCAACTAAAACGTGCAAGATTCCTTATCCATGAAAACTGTGAAATAACAAATTTGTGTGATTTTAGGGTAGCCATTACATTTGTAGTAGTTTGTTATACAACAATAGAAAACTGATGCAGTCTCATAAAGTTGAATATGCATGCCCCTTGATTTAAGAATTCTAGTCCTAGGAATGTTTCTAACAGAAAGAAAGCCATACATGTTTTCACCAAAATACATACACTACAATATCCACAGAAGCAATATTTATAATACATTAAAACTAAAAACTACCCAAATAAGGAAGAGGGGGACTTATGGAATGCTGATATCATTTTATTTTATTATTTGGATTCTGGTTACTACACATGTGTGTCCAGTTGGTAAAAATGTATTAAGCTGTGCTCTTTCCTAGAATATAGTATATTTTTAAACGGCCAAAACTTTGATTTTATTATACAAGAATGCAATTATTATTAAATTATTTTTTAACTTTTATACATATAAAAGTACTCACATTATTTTACTTGTGTAATTATTTTAGCTTTAGTCCTACATGAATAAAACATGAAACATATTATATAAGAACAAAAACTCCTAATTGTCAGTTGTTTAGATTTTTATCCTAGTTCTTATTTGATTTTTTGGTGAACCTTCAACACATTGTTTTAATAATTTTTTTGTTTTCTTTTTCAAGGGAATTAAGTTTAGTAGTATATTGAGAATGTTAAGGCACTCTGTGGAATAACACCTTTGTTATCATTGTAAATTCACTTACTCTCCCAGCCATATGCATCTTCTCTGATGAACATACATTTTTGGGACAGGCCATGATAAAATAGAAAATTTTAGTCGCATCAAACCTTTCAGAGGGTAAAGCTAAAGGTATTTTTTATTACATTTTAAAGAAGAAATATAATGGTTTTCTCATAGTCTTGTAAGAGTACATACATGGTCTTGCAAAATAATCAACAAATTTTTACTGAATATCTCATATACAGGATATTGTGTTAAATATGAGAAATATAAAAAGAGATAGTATATTGTTTCTCCTTTTGGAAGATTTAAGATCTGCTTGAAGAAATACATACTAATAAGCATTAGTTAATGACATAGGTTAATACAGGGTAGGGCAAAATTAAGTTTGCTGTTGTGAGTATGCTAAACACAGAGTTTATTCTTGTATTATTATTTATTAATTATTGCATTATTTTCCATATGAACAACTGTAAACCTACTTTTGTCTCACCTTGTATGTTAATGCCAAATAAGTATCAGATAAAGAAGTAATAAGGAAAAAAGAAAGGAAAAATAGCTATTGTAAAATGGTAACCCAAAGGTAGAGAGCTCTTGGCAGTCAGGAAAGGCTTCCTGAAGTCAGCATGATAGGAAAACAAAATTATTTTGGGTAGAGAAGATTGGTTTTATTTATTTATTTTTATTTTTTTATTTTTATTTTTAAGATTTTATTTATTTTTAGAGGGGAGAGGGGTCAGGGGAGAGAAGATTGGTTTTAAATCTGACTTCTTTTTCAGTTTCCAGATAGGAGCAGTTACTTAACTTCTTGAAACTTTTCAGTTTCTTATCCGAGATTTAGGGATGGTGCCAGTAATTTCTACTTCACAAGTTTTCAAGGTCAGATAAGTTAACAAAATAGCAGGTTCTTCTAGTCTGCATAGCTGACCTCTGAGATAAGTATATAATTACCGAGAATCTTTGAAGTCTGACTCTGAGTATTGGAGAAGATTGGACAGTGGGGAGTTGGGAGGTATATTAAGTGTTAGAGAGAGAAAAGAGAAGGAGGTATTGGGGATTTAAAATAAAAAATATTGACAAAAGTCCAGTACAGCATAATGAAAACAAGACAGGTCAGTCTTTGGGAATCCTGGAGCAATAAATACAATTAAGAATGTTTCATTACAGGCTGGCAAACCCAGCAGTATGCTGGCTATGGTGAGGAAACCAGAAATATAGAAGAAATTTCTGAATATTTACCTTATCAGTGGAAAGGCAATCCTTACTACCATTTTTAGTTACATATATGAAATGACTAGAGAAGTGACGGCTGTACTAGTGCTTATGTCATGTTGGCTTTGCTTTTTGTCCCACGGGAATGTGGCCAAAGGGAAGCTCACTGCAGTCCATAGCATCAGGAAGCTTTGGAGCTCAGTCTTGAAGAGTGGGTGGGACATAGATTCAAGGGAGAAAAAGAAGGTTTATTCTAGACAGGTGTAGCATCCTGCAAAGATTCATTCAGACAGAAATATCTTGCTATTAACTTATTTTACTTGACTATGAATAAGAGTAAAGATCATTTGGATAAGAGATACTGCTTCTGAGACGTTATGGAGAGGTAAGGAAAGAAGTAGCAATAGTAAAGGCCCATTTCTCCTAGATAGGAATTGCTGGTTTGGGGCTGTGCTGCAAAACTAGTGGTCTGCTCGCCAAGAAAGAATGGGAAGAAAGAGACTTAGGTATCTGATTTTATGCAAAGTATGAGTTCCCTGAGATTTTAAAGTAAGTGTTTTGAGATGATCCAGACTATTTCTGTTGAGAATGTCTCTATACTTTCTTGTTGAAATTCCATGATCAAAACTGTATTTTCTCATCAAGTTTTTTTTTTTTTACCTCTATACAGGAAAAGTAACCCTTTTGGACAATTAATCAGCTAAATCATTATCAATTTTAGTTACATCTAAATTTGATTAACTCTCTAAGATCAGAATGTAGGGGTATATTTTCAAAAGGGGAAGTAAAGAGTAGATAGCAATATCTGTCTACACTATGCAATGGTGCATGGTACGGAGAGAGAGTGACAGCTACTTCTGCATCATCTGCCATCCTTTATACTCACAAACTAAAGAGCCTCCTGTCACATCAGTTTTCAGTGTACCCCAAAGCCCACAGAGCACTTAACTTAGTTTGGTATGCACTAGGTTTAAAGAGCGTGAGTTCATCTCTGAAAGATCTAGGCTTAAGAACTTGGCTGTTTTGTTTTGTTTTGTTTTGTTTTGTTTTGTTTTGTTTTGGAGGGAGTGCTTATTGAGCCAGTTTACTTATAAGTACCATGGGCTTAATAATAATAGTAGCTTCCCAAAAGTTGTTGAGAATATTAAGTAAGAATGTATGTAAGGACTCCAGTACATAAAAGCATCCTATAACTGTCAGCTAATAATAATCACTACTATATGGCGCCTGGGTCCTGGATCTTGCCAAGTTTTGTTGGGGAGAGGGAGGGAAGGAAGAAGAAGGGCTTGTTTATTGTGTTGGTGGCACTCTTCAAACAGCCCCCAGGCCTTGGGCCAGAACGACAGCGGGCTGCTTCCTCTGCTGGTTTAGTTTCACCCCTGCTCCACCTACGCTTCCCCAAAGCAACAAGTTCTCTTCTGCAAGACTCACCTGCGCGCGCGAATGGCAGACCTAGCGCCTCCTCCCAGACCTCTGACAAAATCGCTGTCAAACCCACCTTGGGTCGAAATCGCGGCTGCCAACGCCGCCCGAGGCGGGAGGGCCCGCCGAAAGCAAAGAAAGCCTCGGCTGGAAGAAAGGCGGGAGACGTGGAAAGTCGGCAAAGGGGGACCGATAGGAGTCCCAGTTCACGCTGCCCTTTAGAGGCAACAACAGCAACAGAAAACTAGCACCGCTCATCTGAAGCCTGGGATCTGGAGGGAGACGGCCCGGACAGAAACCCACAGACGTCCACCCGACTCTCTGGTTACCAAATCTATAATCCTATATTTTCCAGGTTCCCCTCACTCCAGTTTCTCCTTGCACGCCCACTCGATCCCCCTCTCCCCCGTTAGGTCCCTTAAGGATACTTGAGATTCCTGCCAACGACATTTTGCATGAAGAGCAAGTAGGTCAACTACAGCCTCCACCCTGTATTTTCCTCTCCCTTGCCCTCCCAGAACGGGAACCCTGGAGTTTCCAAAGGAGTCCCCAAGCGTTTTAGACTGAAAGCCTCATCCTGATGCCCAAACAGTTGAACGCTGCCAACTTTTTGGAGCGGGGATCCCCGCGTCCTCCTGGAAAAGCTAAGCTGGCCACTCACATACCAGGAGAGCAACCCAGACTTCTCCGCGGGGAACTCTCCTCAAAATCTACCGTTCCAGCTTCTACAGTTCTGCGTCGAGAACTTGAGAATTAACAGGGAGTACGTTTCTGGGGCGTGCTGTGGTGGGCGGGGGCGGGGGCGAGAAGTTCCGCACCGATTTGGGGAAATAAAACCAGTTCAAGTCTTTAAGTCTCCTGGAGCCAAGAAGCTACTTTCCCTGGAAAAGAGCAGGGACCCAAGTCACCAGGAGGGAAGTCCTCCTGGAGCGGGGTCCGAAAAGCATGAAGATTAATTGCAATGTCCAAGCTTCTAGCGCTGTTTGTCAGAAACAGTTCTTTTTCTGGAGATGGAAGCAAGGGTTAGATATATCTCTGGCAAGACAGCCAAAGCCAAGCTCAGATGTTCAGGACCTCATCCCTCCATCCCCAAGCAGCCCTGAGAACTTGGTACCTCGGACAGAGCCCCGGCGCAAGGAATTGTTTGAAAGGTGTTACCCGGTTTTCGCCAAGTCAAAGAGCAATAAATTATTTTTATGAATTTAGTAGTACAATTTGAAGGACATTTTAATTACATAACCTGCGAAAGATCACTGGAGGCAATGTTGAGTTAAAGAGCCGATGGCAGATGTCTGCATCGCAGGAGAAAGAGAGAAAACTTGCAAATCTGCAATGAGATTGCGCAGGGCTGTCCCGGTTTTGAAACAATATGCAAAATGCGAGGGATATCTTACCTTTCGGACTCCAAAGCCATGTTCTGCAGCAACTTGGCGAGCTTCTTCCTCTCCTCCTTTATGCAACTCCACAAGAAAATGATTCGTGAAGACCGGTCTCTTGGCAGATGCAAAAACCATGACACAGAAGAGGAGCCCGGCGGCCACCTTCCACTGGGAGACACAGACACCTTTCATCTTTCTTTGGGAGTGAAAAGTGGTTCTGGGAGGCGCGCAAGCTGGAGGAGCAGGGTACTCAGCGGAACGGTGTAAATAAAAAATGTGTATATGTAGTTTTTTGTTTGTTTGTTTGTTTGTTTTTTAAAGGAATCTTTGTGTAGAGAAAGAGACTGATCCAGGGCTTGGAAAGCAGCAAATCAGTGTGTGTTCTCTAGCATCTGGCTGGCGGGGAAGCCGTGTGGTCAGGCGGCCCGGCTCGCCGGCAGGGGTGCGAATGTGAGGAGCTGTGTGTATCCGAGAGAAAGAGCGAGTGTGTCTGTGCTTGATGCTAAATCTGCATTTTCAGCTCCTCCTCACCTCCAGGTCGGGCGGGAGGAGAGCACCAGCCTGGGTGACGCGTGCCCGCCGGCAGCCAATGAGGACCAGAGAGGCGGCGGGCCCTGCCCTGGGCCATCCCGGGCCCACCCCTACCCGCCCCGGACCTGGCCGGTCCGCCTCCTCCGGTGAAGGGCGCCTCGGTGTGAGCCAGCGCCCCTGCCACTTCCAGCACCCCGGAGAGCTCCTCCATCTCTCCACCCCGCTCGTCTGGTTCCCAGGAAAGTGCCCCAGCTGTAATCTGGTCGGCGGCGCCCGAGTGATGTCATTGTTTGTGGAAATCTGTCAGGCTCTAGAAAGGGAATTACGATGTGTGTTGTTCTCTGAGGCCCCGAAGGGAGCTGGGGCACTGCCTCATCTGCCTCCTGCTTATTTTTCTCTGCAAAACACACCTCGCTCTTTCTCTCTCTCTCTGTCTCTACACACACACACACACACACACACACACACACACACACACACACACACGGTATGTCTGCCTCCCCTTCTCTCAATAACAAAGCAAATATTAATCCTCCTCCCTCCACTTTGAGGTAACACCTTTGCTCTCCTTCCTGGCACTGGGAGGATTGGGGAAAGCAACCTTCTTGAGGTGACTCATGGGGGCGGGAATGCAAAAATGAGCTTTGTTTGTATGTTTGTTTATTTATTTATTTTAGTAGGCTTCAGGCTGATCTGGAACTAAGCAACTGCGAAGCCTAGCAGGAGCTAAAGCTTGCCTCTACTGGTAATTGTAATTAGATGAGGCTCCACCAGGAGTCTGAACTGCTCTGATGAGACTGCCTTCCATAGAGCCAGTGCTAGGATTGAAATGCCTGGAAGTGCATTCTGAGATTGGGGGTATTCGTTGCCCAGGGACAGGGAGAGAGCACCTCTAGGGAGGTGTATCCACCAATCCGGGGAGCTGGGCCAAGACTCCAGTTGGGTATCCTCCAGTTGAGATGTCACTTGGCAAATTTAGTTAGACTGGCTGGGGGTCAACTAAGTTAACCAGTTAAGAAACATACATTCACACTGTACTAACTGCTTACAACAGACTTCTTTCTGCTGCAGAGAATAGCAGAGATGTGATGTCTGCAACAAAATGAGGGCAATTTTTAAAACAATTCTCATACAAGGGTATGATTATTGATTTTATTATAGATTTGAGAGAGAGAGAGAGAGAGAGGGAAGGAGAGAAACATTAATCCGTTGCCTTTCAAAGGCACCCAGTCGGGATCGATCTGCAACATTTTGGTGTACAGAATTGTACTCCAACCAACTTAGCCACATAGCCAGGGTATGAGGATGATTTTTTTAAAGCAAGTCACTGGTATACACTGATGTCAATGATCATTTTCCCCCAAATTCAAAATCCTGATGTACCTGAAGAACAAAGAAGTTAGAGACATTTTCCCTAGAGATTTAAGCATATGCTATACATGAATACACAGATTATATTGACAAATTTCAAACACATACACATGCACACACATATCTATCTATATTTACAGATTTTCTCCTTTTTATTTTAGCATGAAGAAGTCAGAACCTACAAAGAAAACCCTACTATTGGTAGAAATATTATACATTTAATGCCATGTTATTAACAACCACACCTAAAACGAAAGCAAATTAAAAGTACAGCTAGATCAGGAGTGGAAACATAGAAATGAAGATCTCAAGGAGGGTTAGCAACAGGGGAGTGGGAGGAGGAGGAGGGGGGAGAAGGTACAGAAAATAAGTAGCATAGACAGTAGATAGAAAATAGATAGGGGGGGCAAGAATAGCATGGGAAATATAGAATCTAAAGGACTTGCGACACATGGTCATAAACTAAAGGGGGGGTAATGGTGGGGATGAGGGGTAGGGTGGAGGGGAATAAAGGGGGAATAGAACAACTGTAACAGCATAATCAATAAAAAAATTTAAAAAAATGCCATGGGATACACTGTCTTCAAAGTAGATCTCATTGCTAATATATATAGTTGACTTCTCTAGAGATCTTAGATGCATTGCCAAATAAAAGTATAGGCATAACTGAAGATTTTGATTAAAGCCTAGGAAATTGTTTATTATTATTATTATTATTATTATTATTATTATTTTAAGAAAATATAAGTGAGGTGCTGAGAAGGTGCTAGGACATAAGCTAAAGATGAAAGGGGCCAGAGTAGAGACAAGATTTCGACAGAAGTATTGATAAGAGGGAGCAGAGATACTCGCAGTTTCTCAGTTCCTTACTGCTAAGAGGTTCATTTCTGCCAAGATTTTTTATTACCCTATTTCACAACCTGCCCCTCAGTGTGCATTTGCTTGATTTTAACACAAAGTTTTCTCACACAGAGACCTTCAACTCTATTTCTCTTTTCCTTATATTGTATCCATATTTCAAACTAAAGTAGTAGGCTTGTATAAAGAACTTCTGAATTGTGTTTCCTGCCCTGTATTGTCCTTTGAGAAAAATGGCACTAAATATGAAAATTATATTAGATGGAATCACAATCATGAAGAGCATTTGAAAAGCAGCAACAGATATGAAAATATGTCTTTAGAAAAATAGATCTTGAAGAGCATCAAATAAGTCAATTTAGAAGATTATGGGTGTGGTGCAATAGAAGTGATAATGTAGCTAGACCTCTCTGAAAATGAACATGAACTATTTATTAATATTTATGAAACCACAGAGCAATACTTTATTTCCCTAAATAAATTCCTGAGATGAAATGCTGATATGTACTAAATCTTGTGTATCTGCATTTTAATAATTAAAACCATGTAAAATGGGGTACAAGCTAAATAAAGCCTGGACCGGTGATTAAAATAAACTATTTTTAGTGGTTTACACAGAATAGAGTTTATTGTAATGTTGTTACAGAAGCATAGCAAATAAAAATAGAGCTTTTTGATGCAAATACTAAGTATCTAATGCATAACAATGTATAAGCAAGTGTAAAAAATGTATTGATTCATTAATTGTTACTTGAAATATAAATACACATCCATGTGCATACATATATTGCTTTTTTTTAAATATTAAATTTTATTTAGTTACTTTTCAAGTACATTTTTTTTATCTATTTCTCCCATCCCACCCCCCCCACCCGGTCTCCCCCCTCCCTCCCATTCCCCCCCTCAGTCCTCATCTCTGTGTCTTTCATACTTGTTCCTCAAAATCCCTCCCCCCTTTTTCCCCTTAAGTTCCCTTCCCTCTCCCCCTCTGGTCGCTGCCCACTTGTTCTCTATTTCAGCGTCTTTGTTTTTATTCTGTTTGCTTGTTTGTTTTATTCTTTAGCTTCCTGTCAAAGGTGAGATCATATGGTATTTGACCTTCAATGCCTGGCCTATTTCACTCAGCATAATGCTTTCCAGTTCCATCCATGTTGTGGCAAAAGGTAGTAGCTCCTTCTTTCTCTCTGCTGCATAGAATTCCATGTTGTATATGTACCACAATTTTTTGATCCATTCATTTACTGATGGGCACCTAGGCTTTTTTAAAGATGACTATTTCTAAACTCCTTGTTTTTTTCAACTATAGTAACATTGGAGCAATAAGGTGACAGAAGAGAGAATAGCAGGAGAATGTTTCAGGGATTGAAATGGAATTCAGTTGACAGAAAATATTGCAGGCTCTGCTGTCATTGACTATGCCACTTGGACAAAACCATTGCATCTCTCAAAGATTCTAGCTCCTTATCTGTTAAAAGGTGATAGTTTTTGACTAACTAACCTCCAGGTCCAAAACCCTGCAACTTCAAAAATATGACAGTACATACTATGATATAGGAAGCATTATCAATAGCTTGAGAAATGTTGTGTAGTGTCATACATTTTTTCAAATAACATTATAGTGGTTAACAGACAATTATTTTTATATAACCTCCCTCAAACAGTATTATATTTACTAACTTTGTGGATTTCAGGAAATATTAATTATATGATGCTCAGTACCAGTCATGCAAATGATCAGTATGTTGAGATTCTTCCTATTTAAGATATTGTGGTATCTGTAGAGAAAATATGGGTATTTAGTTTTAGTTTGGATATGCCAAATATACTTTCTAAAGTCTCTTTTAGATTATTGTCCTGCAAAGACCTGAATATTCCCATTTTATGACATCATAACTGTAAATCAGATGACCTGTGTATAATTAAATGAAGCCAAACCACCTGAGGTATATTTGGGGTCCTCCCCTTCAGATACTTCTAGGGATACATTTCTGCCCAGGGAGCTTTAGATCAAGGAAAACCCATCTCTGAAGAGGAGAGAGAAAACTAGGAGTAGCCTTAGGAGAGGCTGCTGGTTCTTTGAGTATTCTTTTGATCATTATGGAAAAGATTTTATATTTATATTGATTTATTTTCTATTGGGTGAGGTACAATCTAAAGAGAAATACATCATGTAAACAGAAGGTATAAGTTAAGATACAGCCTTTTAAAAAAATCAGTTTAGGCTTTGCCCTTTCTCTTTCATTTATTCTGAGTACTTTAAGTATGGTAATAATAATTTCAGTGGTGCCAGAAGTCTCTTCTATCATATTGTATTACTAACCCTTTCAAGTTGATTCTTCCTAGTGACCCTGCCCTCCCTGTCACTTCCATCCCAGCTAATACTTAGGCTTTCTGAATTCAACATTGGTTAAATTTTTAAATTTTCTCCAGATAATTCTTATTTCTAAGATCTCACTCTATTTACCTGTGGCATTTATTGGCAGTCTCATACTTAGGTGCTCAGAAAATTTTAATTAGTACCTTGGTATACACCCACTCCTTCTAAATCACTGGGACTCACTCGGTCTTGCCTCCAATTCTTACAAGCTGTTACCAACTTATACCTTTTATTAAATAAGCTATCTCTGTTTTTCCTTTAGTTGCAAAGTCTTAGCTGACTTTTTTTTTAATTTAAGCCATCTTAAATTAATATAATGGGGAGGAGTCATAGGGCTT